GATCTAAAACATTGCCATGTTGTCTTTAAAATTGCCCACCCTTGGGATGCTTTTGCTCACAGGGGCTGTCTCTGGAGAACTTTCAACCACTTTCAACAACTTTCAATTTCAGCCTGCACCTTAAAATATATCCCATTCACAGCGTCAACGCTTCCTATTCACTTTGAATGGGTGACGTCAGGCGTTACCGAACTGCATTGTGGATCCGTCAGCGCCGCTTCAGAGGCGTTGCTCGCTGCAGAAGTTGGGACTACCTCAACTTTTCAAGCGCAGACGGAAGCGTCAGCCAATCAGATCGCTGTATGCAAATGCACCAGCTAGACAATGGCCTATTGCTGACTGAATTTCATTGGCTGACGCTGCTATGCTGATCGCTTCAGCCCCAACTTCACACACGCCTTCAGTCAAGCGGTGACGCTGAAGCCCCGTGTGAATGGGGCGTAAAGGAGCTGCTGACATGGATTTGAACCAGATTTTGGGATAAACCCAAACAATAAAACATAAAAATCAATAAAAAAAATGAGTTTTATGTATTAATGACAGGAGGAGAAAGTGCTGAGCTGCTGAAATGTGTTTAATACTGTACATATATAAATGTCTGTTTGGTGCTGCAGCTTAAAGACGCCTCTGAGGCCCCGTTTACACTAGTGTGTTTTAGTTTGAAAACTGCATTTTAGATCAAAAACGATCCGCGTCCACACTAGCATTTCACCTAGCGTTTTCTGAACATATCTCCATCCACACTACGCCACCAAAAACGTGTATCACGTGACCATTCGCGCACTCTGGGCATGAGTGTTCTAGTATAAACAGGAAGCATGCTTCACGCTCGGCATTTGGTTATTATTAGTCAACAAACACCGTTTGAATGATGAACGTGATAGCAAAGAAAGCAAGAGAGGTGTTTTTGTGGACAGACGACGAGGTCGAGTTGTTACTAAACGTAACAAATGAATAACTGCACAATGGTGCCTAAAACAGACAATAGTGTAAACAGCGCTCCCATTTCTGTGTCCGTGTTGTTGTTTACAGTGAAGGCTGGTCTGCTGTCTTCCAGTAGCGTTAAAGCCGTGTGTTATAGTCATGTGATAGGGGCTTGACGAATAAGGGAAGGATACGCAATGACACAAAAGCCCCAATCAGCTAGCGAATCTCAGCAGCCCCGCCTCCGTTTTCAGATGTCTCCGTTTTCCCTCATCCACACTGAGACGCAGCAAAAACGCTGTTTCCAAAACGCTCCATTTTCGGCGCTCGAAACTCTGGTGTAGTGTGGACGGATGGCGTAACTGTGGCAAAACTTATGCGCTTTCAAACTAAAACACATTAGTGTAAACGGGGCCTCATATGGAGAATGAAGCCTCATGCATTGCTCAGGTGTGAGTTTCTCACACTCTTCAACAGAGTGTCAAAATCTTGATGCTTCTGTGGGTTTCGTCTATCAAATCTGAGCTTTATCTTGTATTCTCTATTGGATTGAGATCAGGTGATTGGCTGGGCCATTCTACAGCTTGATTTTCTTTCTCTGAAAGCATCTGAGAGTCTCCTCGGCTGTGTTTTGGATCATTGTCTTGCTGAAATGGGTTCATCTTCATCCTCCTGCTGATGTAGATGCTGGACTGAAGCAGCTGATGTTCATTTACACTGAGGAAGGGCAGAGGCTTGCTGAAGAACTACTGAGAGATTTTAGCTGCTGTCTGGGCTTTCCATGTCTTTCTACACCTTCCTTTCTTCATGTGTTCAATACTTTATCCCTGCGTCATTTCATATTATTACAGAACTTTATCTGTAAACTAATTAGCTTTGTTTTCTTCGCATATATGGATTTATTTGGTTGTTACTAACATCTAGGGAATTTTCAAGTCAACAGCATCTTTAGAAATATGTTTTCTGGGAAAAAGTGGTGATGTATTTCTTGTGAAGGGGAAGACAAAAATCTGCTGTTATAAGCGTCTCACCTTGAGATCCCTGTGGACTATTCTCTTCTGATGGCAATACTGCACTGCAGACACAATCTGTGGACACACACACACATGCACTGTCACATTAGCATACATAACAGTTTACAAGGGTAAACACAGGGTTTAACATCATGGCATTTTTATTTATAACGGTTTTAAAGGAGACAGTTATGCAGAAATCACTTTTATAAGCGGTGTAAACCCAGCTGTGTCTGCAGAATGCTGAAAACCACTGACCTCCAAAGTCGGAAGAGCAAATACGGTGAGGTTTTCCAACATTCTTCTAAATATCTTCTTTTGTGTTTGAGAGAGTTTCTGCTCTTGTTAATCAGCTCCTGCACTGTGAATCTGAATCATCCTGCGGCTTTTATTTACGCCTTCATTAGCAGAGTGCGACAGGAAAACGGCCAATAACTATTGCTCAGCAGCAGGGGTTTATTAAACAACACACTGAACTGAGAACAGACCAAAACAACAGCTGATCTGAGCTGACGGACACTAGAGGGAGCACTTCTACACTAAACTCCATTTAAAAACATTGGAGCTATTGAAATCCATTATTGATGTTTGAAGACATAAGCTATAATTGCCAATCAGCTATGTTTTTGTGTTTAAATATGTATATATATATATATGTTTATACATAAGTTCTGTCTGGATCTCAAATCTGATTGGCTGATAGCTGTGATATATCAGCACCCGTACAGCCTCTTTACCCTTTGTGTATTACTCCGCCCAAATACAGCCAGGAACAAGCAGACACTACAGTTGGACAAATATTCCTGCTGTTACACAACCAAATGTACTGTTGAGGCTTTTTTAGTGGAGAATGTAGTTGTTTAGATTGCAACTATGCAGTTTATTTGCAAGAATAGTGCCTATTTTAAAATATTTACAATTTCTGAGAGAGCTCGTCGACGACAGTTGACGTTTTCTATCCACAAGATGGCGACAGAACCGCATAATAAGCCCTTACGCTTAGAAGATATAACAGTCTGATTTCTAACTACAGCTGATCAAATCATTACTAAACTGGTAAGGACCTGCCAACACTTGCATTTTTAATGGGAGTATCCCATATTTCAGACCAGTCTCCCGCAACCATCCCGTTTTTATTTCTTTCTAAAATCTCCCGTAATTTCACCCACCCCCCTCTTTGGTACAGTCTGTAAACTAAACACCCCCCGGTTGCCAACTTTGGTAGAGTACCCGATCGAAACGGCCGCCGAAAATACACTGCATCCTGTTTTCAACCTCACCCCCGAACACCCTCTCCCCCCTGGTCTCCCGGGTGTTCAGAGACATGTTGGCAGGTAAGATGATCTCTCTCTTTTGTATGTTGTAGTGCTGCATTTATACAGATTTGCTCGCATATCAGTAATGTGTGTTGTGTTGGCAGATTAAAATAAGCAAAGTCGGCACATGTTTAGCGTTTAGCACAAACACAACAGCAGTCTGGTAACGTTAGTGGATTCGTTGTTATTTTGGGGGTTAATTATTGTGAAATCCTGATTGCAACAGAGAAATACTGTAGACTGTAACACTGTAGGAAGGATTTCATGTCACGTTCAGCCTTATAATCTTAAAGTGTCAGCAAAATCAGCAGTTTTGTCATCACTTTAGACCGAGTCATTCAAACACTAGCTGTAAAGTGACGTTGGTGAATTAGTAACGGCTTCTGCTGTTCTGACGTCAGCTGCAGATGTGAATGAATGGCGGAAGAAAGTAGTTCCTTATACAAAAGTGTTTTTAGACTTTGATTTTCTTTTTTATGTACAAGATTTAGCCGTCGAACTGTTGTATAAACGCAATATCACACTCGTAGCAGTGTGCTATGGCTGTATATCAGCACTGGTGGGGCGCTAAGACACTCGGCCTGTGGCCTTTTGCCAACGCACGCCTCCCACCAGAACAATAAAGGGACTAAGCCGAAAATAAAATGAATGAATAAATGTTTGACAATTTTGTGCAAAAACATCGTCAACGTCTTAAAGGGGGTCGCACACGGATATCAGATGGCGCTCTGTAGCGCAACAAAAATATGAACAGTGCCATGCACTTTACAAATGGAAACAGCCTAGATTTTTATCAGGGTGCGTACACCGACACTGCAAGTTGCCGGCTGTTCACAGCACCCAGCTACGAGTCAAGACACTGTTCATACTTCTGTGCGCCTGGTGTGTGTTAGTGATGTGTGGGAGGTCTCATAAGAAATTGTGACTTTATTTAATTCTCTAGAGCCTACAAGTCTCACCTGCCGAAACTTGGCTCTGGCCTCCTTCTCCTTCATTCTCCCGTGAGCCACTAAGTAGTCAAAGACTTCGCCTGGCAGAATCACAGACATGCAGAGACGTGTCAGACATGACCAGCGTCAACACTCTTATTAAATATTACACATACAAACAATAAAGACAACGTTTAATTTATAAAGCACAGTGAAACACAACCCAACAAGCTGACCAAATGTGCTTCACAATAACTAAAACCCACAAACAATGAGAGTAACTCATAGACAACATCAAGTTTAAAAAATATATATTAATTAATTAATTAAATAATAATAATAACTCACCCCCACTGGCGTACTCCATTATTAAATACAGCGTCTTCTCCGTCTCGATTACTTCAAATAACTTCACTGAGAAAACAGAAGCAAACACCACCAGTGGGTTATTAAAAGCACAAATCACACACATTATTACATAGATTCAGATTTTACACCAACATATACGAACACAATGTGTTTTCCTTATCACAAACACAACAGTAATCTGCTAGTGTTTGCTTTGCTCTGGCTTTTCAGGATTAATTATTATGATCTCCAGATTGCATCAGAGAAACACTGGGAAATCTCTGTAGACTGATGGCATTTCATGCTGTTCAGCCTTATAATCTTAATATGTGAGCAGAATCAGCTGTTCTATTCTCAACAGCTGGCCACAGAAGACTTGACAAAAATTGACAAAATGGAAATATGATAAAAACAAATACACTACATCAAAATTCTTTACATAAAATTACTGAAGGCAAACGCAAAAGGGAGCATGCTCCAGCAAACTAACCGTAGACTATCTGTGCAAACACTGCTGGTTTGTTTTTGACCACTGTAATTGCCCGTGTGACTTTTTAAGAACACTACTAAAAATATTTAGATTACTTTCTGATTTTAAGCTAACAGGTAAATCATTCTACAGTTTGGCTCCCTTTACAGAGAAGACAGATTGACCAAAGGAGGTCTTACACTTTGGCACTATAGACTGTCACCATTAGCAGTTGCCCGTGTGACTCTGAGAGAGGTTTGATGCCGACTGATCAGATCAGAAAACAAAACTGGAAGATGATTATTTAAACAATTAAAAACCAATTTAAGATAATTGCATTTAATAAAACTATCTATACATTTAATAAAACTACCTATTATTTAATAAAACCATATATACATTTAATTAAACTACCTATCATTTAATAAAACTATTTATCATTTAATAAAACCATATATACATTTAATAAAACTATTTATCATTTAATAAAACTATTTATCATTTAATAAAACTATTTATCATTTAATAAAACCATATATACATTTAATAAAACTATTTATCATTTAATAAA